ATATATATATTTCTTAATTAAAAATCCCTAAAATCGAGTTTTATAATAATCAAATTATATTTCAAATTTTGCCGTCATATTGAATCTAATATTTTTATTTTTGATCATAGAATTAAATAAAATATTATTAAATTATAATATGCTATGGGCCAAGTTTCATAAAAATTAAGCCAATTGTTTATAAAGTAAAAGGACACAACTCCTCTAAAGAAGAAGTCAGCATAAAGGATTAAATAAAGAGTTAAATATGCATTTCACGTATAATTATTGAAAAAGCCATTGTGTTACACTAAAATAAATTATTTTAATCGAAATATAATTGTGAAATATAATTAAAAAATATATAACTTTGAATTTTTCATAACTTTCATTTTAGAAATTTTTTAAATAGGGAGAGTATACTCGTCATTCCTTAAAACGCTTATCGTAAAGTGCTCGTAGCTTATAAACTACATATTGTAAATCCTTGAAAAGTATCAAACTTTGCATATGACGCGCGGGGATGCTACTTTAAAATTCTATACTCTTCAATTTCGGTTTTTCATTCTCGTTGCAAGATTCAAGGGAATGAAATTGCGAGGAATTTTTGCTAGAGTGACGATATGATATGTGATGCAATTGCGAAGTTTAACGAGTCAATAATTCGATATTCATGCAGACGAAAATAGTGTTTCTACAATGGCTGCCGTGTGTGTTGCGCATGAGTCGGCCGGGCAAGAAGATCACGAAGAAGACCATTCTCATGACTAATCGGATGAAGGAGCTGGAGCTGCAGGAGAGGAGCAGTAAGAGTTTACTGGCGAACGTTTTAGATATCGACGATGATTTTCGCCATGGGAACAGCGCCGCCAATCCTGCCTCGGGCTATATAAGGTACCACGAATTCTCCACCCATTCAATCTTTTCAGGTCGTTGCGTTTGGCGAAAATTCCGCAATGGCTTGCCATCCATTTTCTCGATCAACTGCGCTCCTTTTTTTATTAACAATGGAGGCGGTTGTTGTTTGACGGGTAAATGTATTGTTCATGAGAAACAGAGACCATGTCACGTTTTAATCCAATTGGACGAAAAAACAATGAGAGAGAGAGAGAGAGAGAGAGAGAGAGAGAGAGAGAGAGAGAGAGAGAGAGAGAGAACTGGGCATTAATACGCATATAATAATATTGTGAATGATCAGATGGGCGGCAACGAGAGCACATCGAGATGCGCAGACACGTGTTTCCGAGTAAATACCTTGAGTGCAATCCACTAATGCTGCAAATGTTTCATTGACCAATCACAAGAACGAATTTTACGAATTGACCAATCAAAGAATGCGTCGAAGCATTTGCAGCGTTAGATGAATCTCACCCCTTTGCTTGTCGCGTATTCGACAAGCACTTAACGTTATTTTACAGCTCTATCGGGAAATATCAAAGACACAAGCTATGCACATAAAATGATTAGAGTACGGTATACATTACGTTTGCTCTGCGATAACTATAAGCAGACAAGAGATCTACCCGCCCGAAATCCGTTTGAACGACAGTGTCGCTGAAATCGAATATCGACATTTTCATGGACCTCGATAAATGCCAACTCAATCTACCAAATTTGGATTCCCATATTTTCTCATGAGATTTTTGCGGCCTTTTTTCTTCCCCGACTGATTTCCGTTAACAAAAATATTTCATTCTGACATTTTTTTTCTCGATCCTTCAATAATCGCTTTGGTTTGCCAGATGATTCTCTGGGCAATTCGTTTTCTCCTCCATCTCTTCTTCGCTTTTCTGTCACGTCGTAGAACTATCCGATAACCGAGCTCTGTGAC